AGTGTGTACAAATGCATTAAATAATATTCATTAATGCATATAAGTATTTACCTCAGATTTTCTAATAAGCCCTCGTTGTTTTTGCTGTTGCAGCCTTCGTTATGTCGCAGCATACATTTTCTTTATGCTTTCATTTATTTCTCATCTGCGCTTAATTTATTTTGAATGGACTACTTTCTCTGTTCCGTCCCTTGAAAGAAATATTCTTCTTCTTTCTACAGCTATTTTCCATGTAATTTCTTTTTATTCACGCATTCTGCTCATATTATTTACCGTAATCGTCGTAGCGGTATCGTGATCTATACTTTGATTGCCATTGTTATTGTTGTTTCTGTGCATTTTAATATCCCCTTTGTCTGCGTGTGACGTCATGCAATGCACTGCGACAGCGTGAAAGGTTTTGTTATTATCACTATATTTACCATATAGCAAATCAACTATATAAACTACTTTACAACTAGCTTTGTATCATTCCTATTTTGGTCGAAAGTATAATACATCATTCTTTTGCCTCTCCAATAGAGACTCCCTTCAAAAATACAAAAGGCCATGCAATATGATATTTATACTAAATTTGGCATGAATTTCCGAATATTTTTAGATCGGACCACTATTGCTCTCATACAAACTGGCTTATCAAATTTAATATAAAGAAATCTTTATGTTACAAGAAATCCACGTTATAGATTCGTTGTAGCCGAACTTAACTTGTTTTCTCTTTTACACTTTTTTGTATAAAAAGTTCGTAAGAGAATTATATAGAAGAATTTCGCCTTTAAATTATTCTCAAAGATCTACCTTACATTTATGGTTCTTTGGAAATAATTACAAACCAATTCCCGTGAATAAATATGTACATGTATGTATGTATGTATGCATGTATATGTAGAAATAGTTTCTTTAGAATCAATTCCGCCTCGAATTTAGGTAAATAATTTGTGCTCTGAACATTTGCTAATGAGAAACTTCAAGTCATATTGCTTCCATAAAAAATCATTTAAATATATAAACTCACACATTATCACACACATAGATATAAACATATCTTTAGCTTTATAACTTTAAATACGATGCAAATACAAATTGATGCTTATCGATGAGGAAGCTGCAACCACAAGCAGGCAAGTACACAATTACCGAACGATATGAATCCATCAGCAGGGATGTAAATGTTCTTCATGATTAGAACAACAACAACAATAATATAAAGTATGCAGGTAAATACATATGTAAATCCACTTGCTATATATATACAAGCAAATACATCAGCATATATGTGCATATGTGGAACGCGAAACTATAAGCACAGTGAAAGGACTATCAAGTCAAAGAACAAAGACAGCAATAACAACTATAATAACAACAGGCGCAACAGCATACGCTTGACATGTCAACAGCATAAATATTTACATTTTGATTACACAAAACTCGCTTGCAGAATTAATTTACATGCAACAAAGGGGCGAAAACAATAGCAGCGACAAGGCAGAGACCGCAAAAACCTCACCAATCAATTGAGTTGTAAAACGCGTAAGAAAGTCATACACCGCTTTATATAAATTACAGCATACATACAGTTGATATATATACATACATGTGCATATAATATTACGAAGCCGCTGAGGTAAACGAAGAAGCACAGGGAAAAGAAGAGCGGAAATAATAATGACTGAATTGAGATCTTAAATCAAAAGCAATTGTCGCTTTAACGAGATGAGAAAAACCAGAAGCGGAAAGAAAATAAGAGGGCATGGTTTCAATTAAAAAAAAAAAAAAAAAGAAAAGGTCCAACTTGGATGGCAGCCATATACTATAATGATCCGATCTGAGCAATTTCTTTGGAGAATACATTGTTGGCTTAGACAATAACTCATGCCTAATTTCGTGAAGAAACCTCGTCAAATGAACGACGTGATTTTCCGTACAAGCATCATTCCGGTCATTCAGTTTTTATGACAGCTATATGCTATAGTGATCTGATATCGCCCGTTCTGACAAATGAGAAGATTTTATTGAGAAAAGAACGGATGCAAAATTACAGATCGATATCTCAGAACTTGAGGAACGAGTGCGAGTTTCAAATTGAAGTTGGATATTGCCCTGCAAATCCGAATGGCTTGAGTATTCTTAGTAAGGAAAGAAAACTACCAGTTTGGAAACCAGAAAAGAGCAATCAAACTCTGAGTTCACTTAGATTATGGAAAACCCGTACGTTTCGTCAAAGCTTCGACTTTACTCTTAATGTGGTTAAAGGCAGGCAAATGCAGCATTTCATGCTTAGCTTCGTATACAAGTATGTTGATTTAGCTGAAAATCGCTCAAAGACTCTTTGTAACATTTCCACAACGTATTTATAATTATTTAGCAAACAACAACTTATCCGAGTCGAGATGTGAATAGTGTAGGGTTACGAAGAAAGCTGTCACAAAATGAGACGAATATATGCACCAAAGCGTACGAAGAATGATGAATGGCATAAATGAATTTAAGAAACTTAATTTTTTTTCCAAATTGCTATACATTTATGTCGCAGTGTGTTTTTGAACAGTGACAGCACTTAAAACCGGCACTTCCCCAGCAACAGCAGTTATGTTGACGACAATGCGCAAACACATGTAACAGTAAATATGCAAATATTACCAGAATACGGTATTTTTGAATGTAGCCAATCTGCTGGTAAACTGACCTAGCGCCGTGAGCGAATTTTCTCGCTTTCATAAAATGCAACACCTACACACATGGACACTCACATATACGCACATACACATGCGCACCTGCAAATGCAGTTGGGCATATGGAGGTCTGGAAAGTGTTACAAGGTTCCGGCACATTTTCAGAGCACTTGAAAGAATTGCTAGCCATTGGCGTTACATCCGGTCAAGGAGACAACTTTTAATGAGAGAGCTGAGTTGTACGAGCATCAAAATAAACATGGAGAGGGTAGAATATTTTTTGCAAGTTTCAAGTGATTCAACTCTACAAAAAATGTTTTGAACTTTTTCGAGAGAACATTTTTTTTAAGTGGTTGAGTTAGGTTAAATTAGATGATCGATAAATGGAAGTTGGATAAACGGGCTTAGTTCTGTTGAAGCCTACTTAGATTGGATCTTGTTTGCTCAAGTTTGATTTGGTCTAGAGTAAGCTTTTAATAAAACTACTGATGTATAAACTTAGGTTTAATGAGACTTATGGTTAGGTCAAGACTTTTATGCTAAATCTATACAGACATCTTCCAAAATTTTCAATTTTCGGCTGCGAGTAAGCTTACTCTTTCTTAACCTCAATTTATTAATTTTCTTTTTTGCCATTCAATCGGCGTACGAAAATAAATATGAATTTCTTCTGGAAAGAAATGAAATTTTTTCAGATTAAGTATAAGATTCTATTTTATGCACGGTGGACTTTGAATGAATATATTTTTATCGTAACTCAAATATGTCGATTTATTATGGAGCTATTAATATTTTTAAATAGATGGGCCATAGTTTTCATGATTTATTAAATTTACAGTTATACAGACATTAATTAATTGTTGATGCTTTTCAATACATTTAACAGTAATCTATATAAAATAGGGTAATTGATGCGATTTATGTAAATATGTGTCTATGTACATAATCAATCCGTAGGCAGTAAAGCAACACCAGATCAAACACTGACCGCCTTAGGACATGTTGGTGTCAAAGCAAATATTTTCTAATACTCACATACAAAGAGTTAATACTCCAAATCAAATATAATTAATCGAATAGGCATGTATATGATAAGCACATTCTTACATAATTAAAATCTCTCTTGCTAATTTATCCACTCAACCTATTATTAGCTACGGAACTAGCTCGTTTACATACACACACGCTTATAAATACAATTGTGAGAATTTTCTTGATGTTGTCGGCAACTTATATTTACGTGATATTTTCGACAGATTTTCCTTAAAGCCGATATTGTATGATCTTAAAAGCAATCCGCCTAATTTCAACGGCCAATACTTACATTTACATATTGCTTTAAACAGTAAAGATTAGACGTCGTTTGCCTGTTAGCTGACGATGTATAAGCCGCTTTGTGCGGCACTTTGGTCCACGCACGACAATACTTGCAAAGCTGAGTCATCAAACTTTGATATTTTGATGCGATTCCGCTCTCCTTCGCTCACTCCGTCACCGTCTGCTACGCACCCGTTATTTGGTATACTTCGCTGCTGCGCTTGATAGTTCAAATGCATGCAAATCACTTGCGGTTGTCGTAACACCTGCCGCACACGAATGGCTAAGCTGCCAGCATACCGAAGGAAGCGCACCGATTCTCGGTCATTGTGCTTGCTATCACGCTGTAAATGGCTTTAGCTAGGTAAATTGCGTGTGCTCTGTACTACCTGTGTTTGTTGGTGGTGTAATTTTGAACTACATATAATGCTTGTTGGAATATTTAATACGTGAGCATTGCCATTGTCTCATTGTAATCCGCTTAGACGCTTTGTTTACGTTGTCGTCGTTGCTCTGATTATTATGCAAATTCTTAACTTATTAGGCGTGGGAGAGCTTAAGTGAGCAGTGCTTAGAGTATGTGCTTGATACAACTCATCTGAGCTGAGCTGATCCCCCGAAATCATCATGCAATGCCCACAAAGTGATTTCATGTCCTCAGCAAATAACTGGATAACTGCTTTCTGCGACTTTGTCTGTTATGTGAAGGTGGGGGAAGTTAACAAGCTGATTGCAACGTGATAAACTGGAAACACAATCTTAATTGCTTGTTTAAGAGTTCGTGTTCGCATTTAAAATAAGTAGTTGTTTAATTTTACTTGCACCACTCTGCTTAAAGTAATGCGTTGAAACTAAACTGGAATCGCATTGTTGAAAAAACCTCAAAAACTAAAATATTTTTGTAGCATAGCTCTTTCTTTTAAAGGTTTCTATGTAAGTTTTTAATGAAACATTTTTGAGTATTCTAATAACCAAAGAAAAGAGCGGTCAAAAGATCCATTCATTGCAATAGCGCTGCCACTTATTCGTATTGTTAATATGCATAAGCTTTTATAATATTCAGAAATTTAGTTATTATAGGAAAGTATTTATTTAAATTTATTCAATAAATTATATTTGTATATATGTAGCGTCAGAGTTCTGCCGTGTTGACAGTCCTTGACCGGATAAAAATCCGAATCTGTTTCGGTTACGTAGACCCGACTGTCGTGTGAACGGGCTTCGTGTTCGTCGCTACAGACTGCTGTTCAATGCTATTTCTCACGTAAACAGGGGCTGTGTAGGGTAGCGCGTGGTTGTATGAAACCTTCGGATAGTTGGACTGATAGTTAAATTGTGGATACAGCGTGGGCTGGTAACCGCTTTCCGAGTAACTTGCGATCTTCGCATATGAACGGGTTTGTATGCCGCTCTCATCTCGTTTCACTTTCGTATGCCTTCCTCTAATTGGAACTTTGGTTGGTGCAAACCCAGAGTCTATGCTATCATTTGGTGGTCGTGTTTTGGCGATTCCCTTCGATCTCTGTGTTTTGGTAATTGTTGACCCCTTTGAAGCTGAAGCTGATTTTTTCGACTTGGCAGAAGAATTCTGATTCTCCCTACTGCGTTCATCGTAATATTTTGTGTAGTGTTCTCGGCCAATTACCGCAACACCGCCACCGTTAGATGTTGGACCATATATGTAGCTGGATTCAGAGTTTGGTGAAGGACTATTGCGATTTAAAGCGACCTCCTGATTGGAATAATGGCTTGTATAGCTGCTTGGCTGAGGGTCGTAAGAATCGCTTGGGGGAGGATCTGGATAGGCGCTTGGAGGGGCGTCGTAAGAAGGACCAGGATTATTGCCTGCAGGAGAGGAGGCAAAAGAGCCAGAATAGGCGCCTGGGTAAGTGTGAGTATAAGGGCCTGGCCTATTTGTTGTATAAATATCCGAATAGGCAGGTGGATAAATAGAGGTAAAAGTTGTCGGCTCACTGTAATACGGATTATAGTGAGCTGTTTGCCAATACCAGGGATTGTTATAAGTACCGTAAGGCGATGCAGCCGAGTATGGACTTTGCGATGCCGAGTATGTAGGTACTTGAGGTTGAGGTTGATGTGGATATGGTAATGCTGGTTGATATGCTGGTAAAATAGGTGGGGTCACTGGCAGTAATACCGTGTATGGTCTATGTTTCCTGCGCTTTCGTTTCGGTCGCTTAGTTGTTGTGTGATGATAGTGATGATCGTCTTCATCAACATGTTGTTCATTTTCTTTCAGCACAACAATACAATTCACGACCGGCGCCCACTTGTTCTTATTTCCCACCATTTCAATACTGCTAGTATGTTCTTCGCTGTGGTCAACATTCGAGTGACCTTCATGATGCTGTAGATGCACTTCCTCCGCACTTTCTTGACTCTCATTGTCATCTGAGCGGCCTTGTCGGTTGTGATACGCATGATGTATATGGCGGCCCTGATACACGTGATGATGCTCGCTCCCTGGCGCATCTTCTGTTCTAATGACACAAAGTGGATAACTGCCGCTTGGTGGTTTTTGCGCCGGGCTAACGGAACCTAAGATGTTGGGGAAACCCAAACTTGTAACCCAGTCCATTGTCAGACCGGCCAACGCCGCGAGGCCGCTATTTATGAGACGACCTTCCGATATAACCGTCTTACCTTCGGATAGGTTGAGTATGGCCTCATATTCGGCCTGTGAGATGGGACGAAAGCTTGTGAGTTTTTCGGGCTTTGTATCTATGCCGGGGTGAATGCGATAAGTGATAGCGAATTGAATGCCAAAAAAGTTTAAGCTTACCTCCGCTTACCGCGTCGCATACCAAGCAAACCGCTGTGGCCACCAACAACACGCTTCGAATTAACATTCCGTAAGATTATCGAAATCTACTTGGTATCTGTTCTGCTAATAGATTCACATGCGTTGTCGAACTGACTAACTGAATTCGAGCGACACTTTAGCCGCCTCATTTATAGTCTCGCTTCAGTGATTGACTTTCGCAACGACAGCTTTTTTATTCTAATTGGATTCGGCTAAACGAATGTGTATATATTCGGTAGTTTATGTTGGTAGCCAACTCCACTGCTCTACGACATTCTTTTCTTTGTGATTTCACTTTGTATTTCTTTAGTAGCTATTATTTACAGCATTTTCGTTCTCTGCATTATTTGCCTTGCTTAACTTTAGCTCAGAAGATATCTTGGCAGTGTTCGTTTTTGTGTTGCCTGTTTTCGGCTTTTGTGTGCATTCTTTTGTGTGACCTACTTTCTTACTTATACGAAAATTTAACTTTTCCCACAAAAGATCCATCATCATTTCGATTAATTTGTGCGAAAATATTTTTGTTTATACAGCTGAATATTTGCTTGCTGCAGAACACCGCACTTTCTTCGCTACCCTAGTATTAAAACGAAGAAGAACCAAACTCGTTTTTGATGATTTTAGAAGCTAGCAGATTCGTGTATGTTTTGAGCGCTGATTATCTTGTATTTTTGATTGGATTGTTCAAACCTCTAAGTCACAAGTAAAAAAAAATATGTATGGATTTTGTAGATTACTTTTTTTTATGGAATTACAGCGCCTAAATGGAAATAAGTCAACTGTGTGCTGTCGCAACTTGCGCTCTTTTGTTTTTCGAAAGCGAAACCGCCATAAATGTGTATGAGATTTGCTGTGAAATTCGTGATGGATTATGACAAATAGTGATGTACCTATATGGCCATAACGGTATTGCGGTGATTATTGCCTACAGAAAGGCGAAATATGTGTGTGATTTATTTTATTAGAGATGAATTTTTATTTTGTTATTAATATTCAGATAGGAAAAGCAAATGTATGTAAATGAATTGGAAGCGATTAGCCAGTTATGATTATATTTTAATCTTTGGATACTAGTTGAATATAAAGGGTAAGCACTGAAGCTTCAAGTGCAAGAAAGGGGGGTAAAGAAGATATGTTTGAAACCATTCCGATATAGCTTTAGACTAATTAAAAACCTTGATCTATGAGATCTCGGTTAGCTTAAAATAAATAATTTAGAAATTTTCCAATTCATATAACAAGTGTTTGTAAAATGGAATCAAATGTTGGCATGCTTGTATGATCCTTCCTATATTGCGTATTGCAGCGATAATCAAGATTTATATTTAAATACGTGATAATGCTGTTTACTTTGTTAGTCTCGGTCAATTTGAGCATAAGGTATTACAAAAGTATTTTAAATAGTTAAAAGAATTTTTTGTAGTGAACTTCCCATGAGTGAGTTGCTCAAATACAAGTAATAGAGGTCTAGCTTCGGATGCAGCCGAAAACTATGTGGAATATCTAAAGATTAAAGTCGTGCAAAATAAACTAAGTAGAGGAGAATTAAAATTTTATTATTCAGTCTGGTGCTGAGCGAAAGTACAAACTGATATCACACAACTTTTTTGTTCGAATGCGAAATAAAGTCAACCAGTATACCGAAGATTCTGACATTCAGTATATGGGGGTAAGGAGGGCATGAACCGACAGCAATTATTTTTGAATTAGAGTTAGCGCATATCATGAGCAGAAGTTATTTTCAGTTTCGTTTTTATGCCATCACCGATGCTTGATATATCCATTATAAGCAACCGTAGTTTACGAGATATGCTTATAAACCGACAGACATGCGAACATAAATTCGTTTTGTCACTCGGTTCAGTAGTAGGAGTGAAAGACAACCGTTAAATGAGCGTGTAAACAACTTAAACTCACTTTTTTTTACAACGCGTCATACAACATCCCTTCCGTCCCTCCGTCGGTACCACATTATCAAAATAAAATGCAATAATTTGAAATTTTTCTAAATCATGACTTTTATTAATCTCTGCTTGTGTTCAGTACAATTAAATGTGTGTTTGTGTGTGTTCGTTTATATGCAGTTATGTATTTGTTTACATTTCATTATTCTTAGTATTCTCCAATGCTAAACTATTATTATTCATTTACATATATAAATGTTGCATTGCTAAGAATATATATATATATATATATATATATACATATATACGTATATATGTTATATTATTTATTTATTGTTTTTTGGTTTTGGTTTTGTTGTTTTACACATAATCGTCATGCCTTTGTCATTATCATTAGTACTTATATCATTAACATTATTGTATGCCAAGCATAGATGAAAGTATGTATACACATGCGCTAGTTTGCATGTATATGTGCACTACATATTTTTCTATGTGTGTGTGTATATATGCACAACATATATGTATATGCATGCACTATTCGAGCTCTGAGCTATGAAGATGAACTAATTTTGAAATGCATTATAAAATTACGTTATTTTACTCTATTTACTTTACGCTAATATATATGTATGTACAAATTAGTTGTATTTTTGCTGTATTTATATGAATTCAATTTCTAATATTTTAATCTTAGAATTCTGTAGCACATTACATGCTTAGTTGCAAAGAATTATCGCTATTTTTGGTTAATATTTACAAATTTCTTTTTCTTTTACCATAAAAATTAAATGAAACTTTCTTATTTTGCTAACATTTTTATTTATAATTAGACGCAATTTCTGCTGAATATTTATTTCTCTTCTTCACACTTTTACTACATAAAGTGTGACTATGTATATATTACAGGAGTAAAATTATTGAAAACATTTATTTATAAAATCTTAACTCATACTTTTGTGCCTGCAAGAGAGCTCTCTTCCCGAGAATCGGCAGTCTGATATTTTAAATGCAAATGAACAACAAATATATACTGCATTAAAAATCAAGGTTTTCAGCGCCAAAATGTAGGCAATCGCGCACTCATTACCACTCCTACTTCCGGAAATTAAGGACAAAACACCTAAGGGTTAATGCACATGCAAGTCAGCAAAAGCGCGTTGTTCGCGAAAATTTTTTCTTAAAAGGCATTTTATATAATAAATAAATACAGATGATGTACTTTTACAAAATAGCGTTTCGTTCTAAAAAAAAATTGGGATTCTCTTGATCTCGTTGATCCAGGAGGACTTCCGAAAAAAGTTGTTGAAGAAAGGTTTTTCTGCTTAAAGGTTTCTCAAAATCGAAAATTCAAAAAATGTATTAACACTATAAATGACTACAGGTAATGATCGGAGCACTAGACAAAATTTTGATTTTTCACATTCTTGTGGCTTTTCCAAAAAAAAAATTTAAAAATTCTTATAAATACACACATAGCACCGAAGCTTTTTGTCGGCTCAACTTTCATTTTCGGTGAAATCACCAGCATTCGCCACATCTACTATATATTATTCCTTCAAATAAACTTTTTAAATATGCAAGCGCATTAATTTACAAAATATTGTTTTCAGAAATTCTTTAGAAAATATTTTTGTAGCGAAAACCCGAAGCCGAAAACAGCGCTAGAGACACACTTAGTTTGTTATTAGTGAGAAAGTAAATAGTTACATAAACCAATTCTATTAAAAACTTCTGCTGAATATCCACTTTCAATGCTCTTCGATATTACAATTACAATTTTTTTTTGTTATAAAAGTGGCTTGCACTTCATATTTGAGTTATTGTACATTTTCATTCATTACATTTATAGCAAAAAAAAAATTTCTTGCTTCAACTTAATTTCACACTGTTTATTTTCATGTTTACTTAACTGCTAATGC